ATTTTTAATTAAATTATTAATAAAAATAGAAACATGGCCTCACCTTAGCTTTGCTTAAAAAAAAAAAAAAAAAAAAAAAGTATAAATATATTTTATTATTAAAATTCTCTAAAAAAAAAAAAGTTAATTGCCATTAAAATATCTTTATTTTTTCATTTTGCTATTATATGTAATTAAAACAAATGATTAATATTTTAACATTTATTTTATATCTGAGAAAAATTGTACATGAATTGCCACTAATTTACCTCCAAATTCTTGTATTATAATTATTAATAAGCGTAAATTTGAAGGTAAAATTAATAAATAGCAATAGATATCAACAAGATTAAACTTGAAAAATTTACAGGTTTTCTTTAGTGTTATTCAAATGTGAATCGCTAATTATATACAAAAACATGATTCTGTAAGTAACTTTATTTTTCAAAATTCTGCGGTGATTAAGGTTAATTTTGGTAATTAGCTGTTTTTAAGAAAAATTCTGCAGTATTCTGTGAAATACAAAAAATCACCGGCCCTAGGCCAAACTAATTTACATTAATAGTAATTAATAATATTTATCCCTTCTTAATTTTTTATTTTTTTCCAATGCAGCATAATAGAAATTGGTTTTTATTGGTTGTTTATTTTCTATTAAAAAGTACTATTACACAAATTTTTATATTGTTTTACAATAGAAATTTTAATTCTAATTGAACAAGTTAAAATTTTTGATCATCTAAAATTTTACCAGATTGTTTTTTAGAAGCATAACTTTCATATAAATGTTTAGGATCAAGTAGGATCAAGTGTTCTGCCAACTTTTACTATAAGTGATTCTGACAACACCAGTATATAACACAAAGGTATTAAATTAAATTTTTGGTATTTTAAAATGAAATAGTTAATAAAAATCCACTGTTTTTTCGATTAAAAGTTTCTAACTTCACATGAGCAATCTATAAAATATTAATCGATCAATCGGTTTTACAAAAAGAGAATTGCTACAGACACATTAGCACATGATATAATTCTCTAATTCTGCCATATTCTAACCCTAACCTTAACTATAATGCAGGCCATACTGTGTTGTTAAGGCTAGTGCTGGTCATTTGCTGTGTCGATAAAGCTGTGTCCATAGCAATCCCCTACAAAAAACTATAAAGGGTATCGCAGCATAGAAGAAACTCATATTTTCATGGAAAATCACGAGTTATAACATTCATATGATTGGCTAATTTATGTAGATCCAAGCTTGATTATTGACCAATCAAATTAATTAAAAAATCTTTCGATATGCGAAATAAAATACAAAATAAATTTATTAATAATGAAAGTGAAACTTTTTCAATACTAAAGTCATTCTATTCTATTTTTTAATCACTATATTTCATTAAAAACATGTTGTTATATCTGACATGTTACTACTCTTGGTTTAAACTACTGCGATTAGACCACACCATCGTATATACTATACTAGAGATCTTAGTTTTCTTTTCTATTTAATAAATAATACATATATATATCTTGGTTCGGGTAAAATAAATCTTGCTAAAAGTTTGATATTACTTGGCCTGTTTAATAAATACATAAAATTTTATATTAATAATACTCATTGTTTAGCAATTTGTGAATCTAATACATATTTGCTTAATAATTTAAACATAGTAGAAACTCAATAAATTCTACTAATACCAAATATTCTACTTTTATTCTTATGAAAACTTTTTAGGAAAGCGATTGAAAATGATTAAAAAAGATTTTCTGCTAAAGACACACTTAGTGAATAAATTTTATTAATTGATCAAAGTATATTTAGTGTAAAACTTATGGTTAAACAGATTGTAAAAATTCCAGTTTTTAGACTACTATCGTATATTAATTTTTCAATTGCCTATATAAATAACTTGTATAACTGTGATTTCAGAATCTATCGGATACAAGTTTCTTCAGGTATTACCCTATTGGGTATGGTATAGTCTTAGATATTGGGTACAGTACAGTATATTATTGATGTGTTTATACGTACCTAGTAATTTTTGTGTACCCACTAGGTACGCAAAATATTATAGTACTAAGCAGTACTATTCTAACAAACTGTACCTAGTTGAAAATTTTTTTTTCTAGATATGATATAGTTTAAATTTATTATTTAATTATGTACCTAAAAATTTTTTTAATACTTTTGCAAATAATTAATGAAGGGTGTGACTGTTCTATATTTAATTTCTTATAACCTGCCATTCTTAATATCCAATAGTCCTAATATTATAGTTTTTCCAATAGGATCTGTGCTTGTTTTTGGTTCGTTTGAACCAAAATGGTCCTATTCCAGGTTTATTTGAACCAGACCCAGGTTCAAACGATCCTATTCTGGGTTCAAATAATCTCATTCCAGTTCATTTGAATCTGAGTTAGGTTCAAATGAACCGGAATAGGATTATTTAAACCTAGAATAGGATCATTTGAACCTGGGTCTGGTTCAATTAAATTCGGAATAGAACCATTTTGGTTCAAACAATCCTATTCCAGGTTCAAATAATCCTATTCCAGTTTATTGAACCCAGAATAGGATCGTTTGAATCAAAATGGTCCTATTCCAGGTTTATTTGAACCAGACCCAGGTTTAAACGATCCTATTCCAGATTCAAATAATCCTATTCTAGTTTATTTGAACTCAACTCAGATTCAAATGTTCTCATTTCAGGTTATTTGAACTAAACCTGAGTTCAAATGATCTTATTTCAGTTTATTTGAACTAAACCTGAGTTAATAATTCTATTCTGGTTTATACATATTAGTTTAGAAAGTTAACTATTAACATTATTGTATATATTATTATTTTTTAAATTCAATAGCATTTTTAATATA